CTTGCTCATTCGAAATTCATCAAACAAGCATCTAAGCATGTCAATTACTTCCTTTGTAGCTTCCAAAGAGAATTAAGAGGATCTTCAACAAAGAAAAAGAAACTTCATTTATTCATTTTTTTTTTTTTCATTCTTTTTTTTTTTTTTTTTTTTTTTTTTTTGTCATACAGTTATCGTAAGTAACCAAATCACCCGTTAAAAAATTAAAAGAAGTTAACGAGATTGTTGGAAGAGAGAATATGTTGATTATGATAATGACGATTATGATGGTAAAGATAATGAGTTATTGTAACGACCGTCAAGAAAAGATTGATACGCAAGATGTTAAGTAGAGAAAAGGTCGATTATGATAATGATAATAATAAGAATGATGCTAAGGAGTTATCATAATTACCATCAAATTACCTGCAAAGAGAATGTTTCATTATAGGAAGAAAGAATAGGATGTCATGATAATGAACGTGATGATAGCTAATCGATAAACGAGATAGCAGGGAGAGAGAGAATAAAATAAATCACAATAAGGATAGCAATGATGCAGATGATAGTGACCTTAACTAACCTCCTCCAGGCACGAAGTCGAGTCAGGCCACGGCGCAGGAGGAGTCGAGGGCGCGGGTTCTGAGCCTCCAGAGGGGCGTCTTCGCAGTCCCTTCCACAGACGTCTATTTGCGCTATGACTTCCCTCGTAACGCCTCGCCCACGTACCTTCTCACGGTGTGTTACAGGATAAGGTACGGCCCATCTCTCGTTTCGTTGGCGAAGCTCGTGTATGTGCATGACTGTATGTGTGTATGTATAGCTGATAGATGCGGTCAGGGTTCAGGCTATCGACGCGGATGTTTATTGGCACTGGAAGTTACTCATCAATACTTTTACTCAACAAACAGACACATATAGAAATGTAAGTCGACTGCAACTGAAATCATCTAAATAAATCCAAAAGGAAAATTCATACATACGTACAGACACACACACACACACATGCATTTACATACATAAATTTATATTAATATAAATATATATTTATATATATATACATCTTTGCAAAAGTAAATAAAAAATATCATACATATGCGCGCACACGCACCAACGCGCACACACACACACACACACACACACACACACACACACACACACACACACACACACACATATATATATATATATATATATATATATATATATATATATATATATATATATATATATTGAAAACCTTGTCCGGTCAGGCATTCGCTGTTATATTAAGAAAGGAAATTCAAGGCATTCGATGCAAGATATAAGAACATCTATTTTAAGGCATCGGACCAGCAAAAGGCATTCATATTCCATTCCATCTTCTAAAAGATTCGCTCCCACCAACGACCACCTGGAAACGCCGAAGAACCAAAGGTGAACTTTTTCTTTAGCGAAAGAAATTCCAGGAGCTTAAGTGCGAATAAACCATGCAGTACTTACCGAACACGGTTATTACTTTTGTCCAGGGTGATTATGAACAAATAAAAATATATATATATATAATAAAAAAGATAAAATACATGAATAATGAATAGAGACAGAAAATTCCTTTTAAGTACAGAACACAACACAGACACCTTGAACGGGCCACTTGTTACGTCATATCACAAGGTATATTTCAACAGACACCTGTTAAAAATGCGAGACAAGCACTGCAACGTTACTTCAGTCGTTAGCATAATTCATTGGCGAAGAACAGGCAGTTTGCACACAAAAGGAGAAAAAAAAAAAACAGCCACTTCCAAAATATTGACAACCCAAGATACCTATTCATCCTGCCTACACACTGCAGAAACTCTTTAAACGGTACCAGAGCTTGAAGACTGAATGTTACATAAGGACACGCCCAGCGCTTATTCATACGCCCGTTCAAGTGGTCGTTTGAGAGGAGGAAGGGCTGACAAATGGCTGTCGAGGTGGTTCGGTCTTCGGAAATCAGTAACGGAATCGCTCTTTGCTGTTAAAGAGTTTGAAAGTTGAAGGCAAAGAATAGCAAAGGAGAGGAAAAATACGTGAGGAGAAAGCAACATGGAAAAGAGAAATTAAAGAGACTTCAATTGAACGACGAAAAGACATGTAAAATTTGGTATTTTATCAGTATTTTATTTTATTATTATTATTTATTATTTTTTTTTTTATCAGAGAAAGCAAAGATTTTTATTTTCAATGGAAACCATGAATGGCTATGAATCTACAAGGTGTAATCAACTTGTTCAACATACATTGAATAATAAATCTGAAAATAGCAAACAGCCTTAATCTATTGGTTATTAAAACACAATACAGTACAACACATAAACAACGCGCTGATAGGCTAGATAGAAAGCCAATGACAATTTCACAAGCTAACCGCTCTAAGCAATCATTTTGTGGTTTTAAAATTCTACTGTTCCGTAATGCAAGCTATAGTCTTTAATCCTTAATCGTAGCAAATTATTGTTTGAATAATCTACATAAACATTTATCTTATCTGATCGATTACCAAGGTCATGACATAAATATCAGGTAGTCGAGTGTTCCGATGAAATTTTACTCTTTGATTATTATTTTTTTTTCTTGAATTTTGTTTTTGTTTTTTTCTTGATTTTTTTTTTTCGAGTGACAGCCATTGCTTCTCCTGTAACTCCTACCCTTTCCCTTCCTAGTTTTATTATTTTTATTATTATTATTATTATTATTATTATTATTAATCTTGTGACTTTTACGTTAAGGGGAACTATCGAGGTTCCTTTCCTGTAAGGCAAAATGCGTCGATCTGGCTGTGCTTGGAGAAAAGTTTCAACCTTCATGTTTAATTTCCTTAAACTTCATCACTTTAGCAACTTTCTTTGATACCTTTATTTCCTAGCAATTAAGTTTCTTACCCAATAATTAAGCACCAAACTGAAGACCTCAAGACCAAGCACCTGAACACGAGGAAACCGTGAGAAAAAGTAACATTGTTTTTTTAGGGAAAAGGAAATTCTCTTCTGCCTCACAATCGACACCGATATCACGAATTTAGCCGATTAAATGTATTGGTTCACATACATATTCATTTCATTCATAACATTTAGGAATACTCGATGGGCTTCGAATGGAAAATATTATTGGAACATCGACTTCCTGCTGCATGATTTGCTCTCTAAAGACTTCTAAAACAAGCTGTTGAAATGTATGAATCCCATTGTTTTGAATTTCATCTAATTTCGAATCGTTTCGTACATTCACTGCCTTATGTCTTGCTATTTGTCATTTATATTTTCTGGGCAGGCTAAAATGACTGGAGCAGAAATTATAAATATAAAAATTAAGAAAATTAGTAATTTGTCAAAAGATAATATTATGAACACAATAAATCCAATATTTACCGTCTCAAAATTTATTATAGGACCTACGTAGAGAAAATCGACAAGAGTAATTTTACGGTGAATTTTGGTCCAATCGCTGACATTCGATCTCCAACGCCTCTCTCAATTCTCTTTCCCGCTTCTCCTATAGGTTCGAAGCCTTTTCCAGTTCCTTTGATGTTCATTTGTCTTATAAGGTTTGGGACGACAACACCGATCCCTTTTATTTCGGTGAGTTAGTGTCTCTGGAAATATCAGAAATATCTCTATCTCTCTCTGTCTCTCTCTCTCTCTCTCTCTCTCTCTCTCTCTCTCTCTCTCTCTCTCTCTCTCTCTCTCTCTCTCTCTCTCTCTCTCTCTCTCTCTCTCTCTCTCCTCTCTCTCTCTCTCTCTCTCTCTCTCTCTCTCTCTCTCTCTCTCTCTCTCTCTCTCTCTCTCTCTCTCTCTCTCTCTCTCTCTCTCTCTTTCTCTCTTTCTCTCTTTCTCTCTCTCTCTCTCTTTTGTCTCTCGCTCTTTCTCTCTGTCTCTGTCTCTCTCTTCACTAACACACAAGCAATACAATTGAAATCCCATTTCCTTTCCATGATATATATATATATATATATATATATATATATATATATATATATATATATATATATATATATATATATATATATCGCTCTACCCTTCCCCATCCAGGCAGCAGCGGCACGCACTTCGACACCTGGTTCGATAACCTCGCTCAAGCCGGACTTCCTGCTTGGCACATTTTCCCCGAGGAGTGGCGGCATTTGTGTCATGTGTTTGACGACACCACCTACACTATGTACTGGGAAGGCAAGGTACACTGTGAGGGCGAGAGAGAGAGAGCCTATACGGACTGATGTGTGTGTGTGTGTTGTTGAGAGAGAGCCTATACGGACTGATATGTGTGTGTGTTCGTTTATTTCTGCATGCTCCAAAACCCTAGATAATACCTTAACTGGATCCTAAACTGCTCTCCTCCTTCGCTACGCTACACATTACAGTACGCCCAATATGCTCCCTAAGGACCTAATACTCCTTATATCCTTTCCCGCTTTCCTTTTTCTTACTCTTTCACCCTGTTCTTTAGTCCCCTCCCCTCCCTCCCCTCCACTTCCTCGGCCTCTAAGTACATTCCCCTTCCTCTCTCCTCCGACACACAACCTCTCGCCTCGGCAGACTCTTTACCAAGGAGATTGAAGATTAACAAATGGATAAACAAATAGGCAAACAAATAGATATTATGAATAGATGAAAATACTGGAAAATAAAAAGAAAAGAAAAGATAAAAAGAAGTTAAAATATCATTCTTCCTTTTCTGTCGTCCTCTATCATAAACTTTAAGATATTTGATTCTGCACCCTCAAAAGTAACAGGATTTTGTCTATAGTCTGTCTAAGACTTCTCCCCGATTGGCAGTCTTACTAACAGGCAAATTAGCTGTAAGGTCGACACACCCTTTCCCGTAACACAATAACAAGCGTATCTTTGAACAGATCAGGTGGCGATGGAAAATATCCGAAAATATATTCATGTCCCCCCCTCCTCCTCCTCCTCCTCCTCCTTCCTCCCCCTCCCCCTCCTCTTCTTCTTCTTCTTCAGGCTGTGTTCGAAGGGCCTCGGGTTGGGAAGTGGCCCTGCTACATGAACGGGACGCTCGTCTTGGGACAGGAGCAGGACAGCCTCGGGGGTGACTTCGAGAGCAGTCAGGCAAATTACTTTTGTTTTTTAGTGTCGTTCGTATTATTGGCAGTAGAAATATTGGCATTGCATTTTATTTTATTTTATTCATTTATTTATTTTTATCTCGGTCTTGTTGTTAATAATTCCTTATTTTTTTTTTCATTCTTTTTTGTATTATTATCTTCATCTTCATCACCATCACTACCATTATCCTCACCATTATTGTTGTCATTACTATTATTGTTGTTCTTGTTCTTGTTCCATCATCATCGTCATTATCAAAATTGTCGTTATACTTACATGCATCATTGTTGTTTTGTTACTGATCTCATAGTTTTTTTGCTGCTGATGTTATTGTTGTTGCTGTTGTCATTATCATTATTATTTTTTGTGTTTGTTACAAGGCTTTTTACTTTTTACTGTTAACAAATTCGATCTTATTCTTTTACAACTGATAAAAAATAACAAATTGCAATACACATTGAACTGATAACATATGATGCCTCGTTAGAAAAAAGAAAGAAAGAATGAAACAAAGAAAGTATGAAAAGAAAGAACAAATACAAAGAAACAAATAACAAAAAAAGACAAGAAAGAACGAAAATAAAATAAACAAACAATCAACAACAACAACAACAAAAAAAAACATGAACCCTTTCCCCCCAGATCTTCCGCGGAGACCTCGCCCAGCTGTCCATGTGGAACCGACCGCTGCATTCGGGAGAGATAGGAGCCCTGGCCAAGTGTCGGTCGAGCGGTCGGGGGAACGTCTTCAGCTCCGACACGGCAGAGTTCGAAAATTTCGGAGTGAAGGAAGAGTGGGTCGACATTCTGGATCTGTGCAGGTAAAGGAGGGTGGGGGAGGGGGGGGGATGGAGGTGATGGTGGTGAAGATGGTGATGCAGGTGAGGGGGATAGTGATGGTAGTGGTAATGGTGTTGGTGATAATAGGATGGTATTTGGTAATGAGGGTGATAATAATGGTGATATGGATGTTGGTAATGGTGATGGTGATTTTGATGATGATAATGAGATGATGGTGATTTTGATGATGATAATGGGATGATGATGGTGATTTTGATGATGATAATGGGATGATGATGGTGATTTTGATGATGATAATGGGATGATGATGGTGATAGTGATGATGATGATGAGGAGAAGGAAAAGGATGAGGATGAGGATGATATTGATGACAGTGGGACGATGTTTGTAATGATGGTGGTGATGATCATGATGGTGATGCTATCCCTAATGATGATGAAGAAGAAAACGAAAGTGAAGGGTCGAGAAAGAGGAGTAGAAGAAGCAGGATTGGAGAAGGAAGAAAATATGTAAAATGGAAAAAGCAGAAGAAAAAGAAAGAAGAAAAAAAAGAAAGAAACAAAAAGAAAGACCAAGTATAAATTCCCTTTGATAATTAATCAGCCCACTGAATTAATTGAGTCAATCGATTTCGAATCATTGTGCTTTGAGCTTCCAATCCCATTTTGTGCCATGAGGGATCCATGCATAGTATTAAATTATTTACCTTGCAAAAATGTCGTCCTATTGAAACGCACTGAACGCCGAACCAGACACAAAAGAACATGATGAAAGGGTAAAAAAATTAAAGTTCAGTCCAAGAGATGTGTATTGAACGCTGACAATATGACATGCACATAGCAACTACAGTCACAGATGTAAAATGCATATTTGCCAATACGTGTCTATAAATAGTATTGTAAGACATAATCTGTGCCAGCATTTTTTTTTTCTTTTTCTTTAATGATATTTTTGAATGTTTACGTTTGCTTTCCACCGGTACAGAATAAGACACAAACCTCGTTAATAAAGGTGAATCATCTTAATTCTTAATACTCAGTATTTGAAGGCGATAAACATTGTACTTTACGTTACAGCACTGTACTTTCATGAGAAGTTAATATTCAAGCGACAAATACATTTGTTGAATATTCTATATTAAATTATTTCTGTATCCGCGCTCTATTTATCTTCATACTCTTTGAATTCTCGATGATCTCTGCATTTTTTTTTTTTTTTTTTTTTTTCTTTTATTGTAAGGTCATCTATGACAAGACTTGGCGTGCTGTAATTCATATAGGATCTGTGACTAATTTCTTCATGTAATTGCATCTGATAAGTTAGTGTTTATATCAACTTTTGATATAAATGAAAGAAAGAAAGAAAACGAAGACAAGTATCTTAACGTTTCCCCGATGTATCGAGAAAATTTATAGAAAAACAATGAAGTGGACATGGCTGTTTGTAGACGAAAGTTCTTAGTATTACATTTTATTTGCATAAAAGATTCTGTATTTTGTATTCTACATAAAGTATAATTCCTCTCTCCCTCAGGCCAGTCCAGCACAACCTGATTCTACCCGAGACAAGGACAGTAGAGGAATCCCTCGACATGTGCAAGCTCCTGAACGCCACCATCGCCGTTCCCGCCTCGCCCCTCGACAACGAGAGCCTGCAGAACGACACGATCGCCTTCGCCGACGTCTGCCTCCCAACGGCGTCGTGGAAGGTCTGGCTCGGGATAAGCGACGCCGAAGAAGACGGCGTCTGGAGGCGGTTCGGATCGTCCGACAGAGTCACCTACACGAACTTCGCGCCCGTGAACGCAGCCTCGTCGTACAGCTGCGCCTCCATGATGGTGAACGGCTTCTGGGACGGCGATCTGTGCACCAACAAGAGGTGCACGTCCTGCCACGTCGAGCCGGCGGATTACTTGGTGGTGAGAGGCCTCTGCTTCGAATCCGAGTATCGATCGCGGTTTCGGGTGGACGAGTACATCGAGGGCCGCCCGTTCTTCCGTGGATATTACGACCTGGTGATCGTGTGGCGGCCCGAGGTCAAGAAATGGGTCATGATCAACACGGCGAGCAACAGCACGCTTCTGAGGACGTCCTCCGTTACAAAGGATTATCCGCTCGGAATGCGCCAGTGGGACGTCGTCAGCGAGGTGTGCGAGGTAACGGAAGGGGAAGTCCTGATGGTGAGTCTGTCGCACTGCTCCCCCGTGCACTTCATGTGTCGCTCCGGCCACTGCATCCCGAGGGAACTGCGCTGCGACTTCCGGTACGACTGTCGCGACGGTAGCGATGAATCGAACTGCCACGTGGTGGAAGTGTCCGACGAGCAGCAGCGTCACATCCCTCCCTCGGGCCCCGACGGAGGGCCCCTCAGACTGAGAGCTGCGCTCGTTATCTCGCGCATCGCCAACATCGACGACATCAACATGGCCATCACCCTCGAGTTCCAGTTCACGCTCACCTGGACGGATCGGCGCCTAAGGTTCCGGCACCTGAAGGACACGAAGAATGGCACGATTCTGACCGAGGCGGACGCGGAGAAGCTGTGGCGGCCGCGCTATCAGCTGGTCAACCTGGAGGGCGGAGATCAGAAGCTGCTGGCCCAAAGCTTCATGGTCAACGGCGCCAACGACGGCACAACGCCAGACTTCAACAGCGTCGACATGGGTAACTGGTCATTTAATTTTTCTTTTTCACACGCAGACACAAAGGGCACATTTTGATGATGCATGTGTCGATCACAAGTAAAGCAATATGAAATATAATTCATAATAGATCTTTTTTCAAAGTTAATCATGATTTCACACCTGATGCTGGTCTTTGCTTCGCTCCCAGACGTGCAGTTCCCGGGCGCGATGAACGAGCTGTCCATGATCCAGCGCTTCACCGCCCGCGTCACCTGCTACTTCCACCTGTACAGTTATCCCTTCGACATCCAGCACTGCAGCATCGACCTGCGACTCCCGACGGAGCACGAGGGCTATGTCGCCTTCTCCCTCTCCGACGCGGAGGTCCTCTACACGGGCCCGAGGACGCTGTCGACCTACACGATTCGGGACGAGAGGATCGATCGGTCCCTCGGCCCCAGCGCCCTCAGCGTCTACTTCGACCTCCATCGCCGCCAGGGAGTCATCCTCTTCTCCACTTTCCTGCCGTCGGGGATGCTCCTGCTGGTGAGCTGGGCGACGCTCTTCCTCGGCCTGGACGCCCTCAACGCCCGCGCCATCATGTCCCTCACGACGCTGCTGGTGCTCTACACGCTCTTCTCGAACATGTCTCGTTCTCTGCCCTCCGGCGCGGCCATCAAACTGATCGACATCTGGTTCTTTGTGATCATCTTTCTCCTCTTCGTAAACATCCTCATTCATATATTTGTGGACAATAAAGTTCCAGAAACAACTAATAGGATATTCGTCAAAGGGAACACCCAAACAAACAGCATTTCTGTCGTTAAACCTCAGACTTCACGTTCTGTTAAGTTCCTAAAGGTATACAGGCTGATAGGCTTACCTGTTATTGTTGTTCTGTTTAACATCTTGTTCTGGTCAGCAGTTTTTCTTGAATCTTAGATTTTTTTCCCTGTGACGGATGTAATAAAATGGTATTATAGGATAACTGTATGATCTAGCAACATAGCAAATAAATATATTTTCAAAGTATATTCTTCATGCTGGATAACAATTTGATAATTATATCACATGCCAACCCAGATTTAAAAGAATATATACAGATAAACATAGCTGGTTGTCGAAACAATATTCAGGAAAAGCTGTGAATAGAACTTCGTAATGTTTGATCTGCCTCTATGTGTATTTTGTTTCAAGTAATGGCAAGAAATAATAAAATTATGTCGATAAAAGAAACAATAAAAAATAACCTATAACAATATCAAAAATACGCATAATTCAATGGTAATTTCAAAATAAAATAATAAGAGACAGACAGAAAATCACAGAACATACCGGTATTTACTCAAATACTCGGCTGAGCTGTGAGCTAGAGAGGAAATTGGCTCCTACCCACCTTCCTCCAGCTGTTAGGAAGGTCCTTTCCGGAAGCATCTCCTCCTGACAGTCACTGACAGGAGAATCGTAAGAAAATCGATGACAGTAAAAGGAGAAAGTGTGTGTGTGGGCGGGGGTTGGGGCAAAGGGTGTGACAGCTCTGTGACACGACAATTCTTAATCTGTATATTCAAGTATTCATCTAGTTTGCTCTACGATACAATACTGGGATATTAAATGTCTGTTTACATATACCATTGGCGTTACGCGCTAGTAAGCAAGTAACGCTAATATAACAGGTGTTTGGGCCATTACTGTTGTGACCTTCTTGCATTCTTGTAATTTCTAAATGCCTCTCTTATAGCCATTTTCGATTTATTGAAAAAATAACTAAAATAAATAATAAAGTAAATTCGGAAAATGAAATGACAAGTGACAAGTTTGGTACTTTATTTGAAAGTGTACACAACCCAATTTACCTTTTAATTACTTAAATTTAAATTTACAAGGGCTTTACTGTTGTATATAAACACATGGAGTTAGCATACAAAAGGACAATATCAAAATACGCACAAGAAATAAAAGGTGACAGCGGGCGTCTTGTTAAGTCCCCATCTGTGGCTCGTATTGATTTCTGTTTAGTCTTGTCATCACCGCCGTTTTCTTTACATTAAGTTGGTAAACATAGAGTTTTTATTAGGGTGATACCTTTAAATTATGTGTATATATGGAGTGAAATTAAGTATAACTTTTTTCATATATATT